CAGTAATCCCAAATACTGGGACTTCAGTGAGTCTTACTGCAACCTTAGAATCCAAAGACGGAGTTAATAACCAACAAAAATGACAGTGGGGAAGTAACCACAATCCACCCACGCCTGAAGGGCAGATTTTTTAAAGCTACGGATCCTTATGGTCTAGTGAATTGTTGCGTACCAATGGTATTGGTGCTATTTTTTTTACTCCAAATACCTCTTTGATACGGATCTGGAACCTTGGATTGGTTTAACTTCCTACACACAATCCCTGTTGCAAGCAAAAATGGACAATCACACTAAATAAGAGTTCACTCATGACTCCACAAATGTGATAAAAATAAAATTCAGTAGTAGTAATCTTGAACAAAAGAGAGCCAGCTGGTATTCGAACACTGTTTTTCCATGCCAAATTCAAAAAATTATAACTTCGAACTTTCAGCTCTTTTAGATCACTTCTATTATTATAATCCTGTATACATTCAATGCCGTGCCTTGGCTTGCTTTATTTACCTTAGTGAAATATATTTGCTTGGTGACTTATTAAGAGAGAATGAGTCTAATTGTTTATGCTTAATTTATTCCATAACGAATTGCTAAAGTTCACTAGCCATGGACATTGTCCTTCTCGCTCTTTTCCGCCTCTTTTCAAGCACTCTTGTGTTATAACACTGAAAACACATGTCAAACGTATAACTTCGTCCTGCATCATCACCAATAACTCCGTAATTTATCTTGGATCACTACCAAGAAGTATAAAATAGTACGTTACGACCGACTGATCTAGACCTTAGTTCCATTCATTTTCGAATACCGATCGCTCGTCTCAGTAAAACCCCCACAAAGTGCTCCAACTCCACACTAGACAGCATAACTGTATTAACCATAGAGTGAACGAGAACACAAGTGTGAACAATCGGACGTATTTGTGCACAAAATTACAGAACGGCTTAGTAAGAGCTAAGAACCATATTAGTAAATACGTCATTAGCAAAATGTCGACTAATTGTCGTAAACTTGACTGCTACTTCTGTAAATGTCAATCGATGATCTCAGACTTCACGGTATTTTTTATTAAACACCAATCATTCTTTGTTAATGGTCTATTTTTTGACCTTTTAACCCCCTGCCTCCAGGCACTTCACTTTCGATTGGTGACACATGCCACTTATATCTGTCGACACCAGTAGTACACACCAAAATAATAATGATTTATTTTATGAAAAGTTATCTGATTATATTATCAATGTTCCCTATAACATACTGACATAACTTAGTATATTAATAAAGTAAAACATGTAGCGTTTGTAACAACTTGATCTTGCCTGTAAACTGACATACCTCACTTAACGATTGTTCTTTATGAATAAATACAATTAATTTTAGTTCCTAAGTAAAATAACGCACTGTATATTGCTTGTGTCGACAATAAATTCATCCAATGAACCAAGGGAAGTATATGATCGTTTTTGAATGCAAAAATTACCGTTCAAAATTGTGGATATTGGTAAATGACTATTAGAGACCTCTTTTACCACACTTAGAGCATTTGGCAAGAAGTGAGACACATGAACTACGTAAGTAATGTTAAACACAAAATAAACACCTCTGTAGCCCGCACTGCATTTATTTGTTAGGTAGATTTCCATAGTTCTGCAAGCAGGAACCATTGATAAACAAATGAGAACTCGAACAACCCCGAGAATGAAGTTCACCACGGCGTATAACAAAAGTATTAGAAACTTTTGACGACTGAAAATCAGTCTCATCCACTGCTTTATAGTTATTACAATCTGTTCTACTTTATAACGATGAACTTTTAGGTTTCTAAATTATTTCTCCTTCGAAGTTCTGGATATTTATCCCAGCATTCAGCCGATCACGTAACTGCACATGATGTCGATCACCAAAATTAAACATGGCACTCTGTTTTTAGAAATTCAAGGATCAATATTTTATTCTTGTAAAATCCAAACTAAGGCTTGGCTGAAGAATGACTGTCTCGGTAGTTTAGATGCACCTTATTACACCTTTAAAATCAGAACAAGGTGACTATTGAAATAACAGTTCTAAATTTCATAGTGAATACAAATGTACATTATTACCTAAAAAATATTACCGCTCAGTTATTCAACCAATAACTTTTCCCTCAATAATCGATCTAATTCACAATAAATAGACAAATCGAGAACGAATGCAAAAATACTACCGAACGCACCAAAAAATAAATGTTGTTCTATCCTTTCAGGATAGATCAAGTAAAAATCCGTTCAAAAGTTTATGACTTTATAACACAAAGTGTTTTCGATTCTCGAAAGTGCTTCAATTCACAATAAAAATGCACGATCACAATCAACTGAAGCAACACAAACAAAGGGGGAACAATCAATATGACTGCCGCTAAGATTAAATATCAACTAAAACAACACAAATACATTTCAGGACGAAACATAGAAACTCAGTGAAGGCTAAAGAAAAATGAGAAAACCATTATAAAATGAAACATAACAATCTCAAATGGCATCAAAAATGCTAACAAAATGTAGAACTAAAGAAGCCAATAAAAACAATTTGCAAATGTATGGATGAAGAGATTTCTACACACAAAACCTTCACAATGGATCTTACAAACCTTATGGTTGTTGTGATGGAAGATTTTATGAAATTTTGCTTTTTTACGACAACCGAACGCAGTACGTTTCACATAGTTTAATAGTTGTTTGAGAGTTGTGTAAGGAGGTTAAATAGGCTTGTCTGGAAATGCCAAATGTTTTAGAAAGCTGTAGACATAACCTCCGATCAGTGTGAGAAAATGAGCCATGATTTTATTATCCTTAACATCTTCCTTGGTTATACTTCGAACTTCAAATCTTCCCGTGTAATCCATAAGAGCTACAGAATTTGAACTTACAACCAACTGTATAATCACAGTCTCCATCACAATGCCAGTTTGATAACTGGAAGTCTTCGGATAGATTTGCTAACTAGCAATTCCCAAAACGGTGCAATTTCGTGCAAGTAGAACTATATGATCACCACTGGACACACTATATTTGTAATTCTTCATAAGCGCGCAATTAGGCACAAAGGAATAATTGTTTCGAACAAATACCACAGTATCTAACGATTATTTACCGATATTTCCCTCTTGCGTGTTAAATATAAGTTCCTACCAGAGGTCGACGGTTATTGACATATGCCGGACGAAGAAGTCAGTCAAGCGAAGGCCCATCCACGTAATCATTTTTCTCAGATATTACATAAAAGTCACTTATAATAGCCGAAACCAAAACTTTCTTAGTTCATGATTGTAACATATTTCTAGGATTTCTGGGGCACGAACACTTAATAAGTTAAAGGAATGGAGACAGAACGAAGTATTGCCTTTATATAAAAAACTAATGATATATGTCAGTTCCTTTATTTGTAAATCTCATGATAGTGAAATTAGCGAGACCATTCGCTATGAGCTCAAAAATGCGCTTATCTTAATTTGGTGTCATCTATCGTAGCCTAAGCTACTTAGTCGACTATTTTACTTTAAAACATACTCAGACATAAAATTTAAGCAATAGGTGAGTGATATCGGAAGATTTCAATTCACCTAATATTAGGTGGATAAAGATGTTCACCTTAAGACTTGAAAATCCTTTTCATTCCAACGAGTCAGGCTTTAGTGGAGTAGGTGTCTGAATTCAGGCGTTTGAGCTCAAACCAAGGATCTTCTTCGTTAGACCTCATAGTTACTCAAGTGATCGAGGATATTGCTTCTATAAATGTTCTCCCTCTGTTAGCTAGCAACGATTATAGTAATTCGTCGTTCACGTTTAGGACTTATAACATTGTATGGAGAGGGAGAAGGGAATAATTTCTTAGCCAAGGTCTAAGGAAAGGCTTTTCAAGTCTGACAAATCTCATTGCATGAAACAATTGGATAGCGAAGAAGAAGAATAATTTTCCCGTATATTTAATTTTCACAATTCAAAGCAAAACACTTGACAAAGTCTTAACTTAAAACTGGGGAGTCGTAGAACACAATATATAACTAAAAACTAGATAAATTACTTTCTTGTCGAAAGGAGGCGACGTGTATGGGTTAACGGAGCCTTATCAACATGAGAATCAGTAAAAAGTGGAGATATTAGATGCGAAATGTCTGGTTCTCTTCTTTTTTGTTTGTGCAAATGAAATACTAACTGCAATAACGCCCTTTTTCCAGATCTTTGCAGATAATATAAATATTTGGAAGCCCATGCACAGTGTTTCAGATGAAATAATCTGACAGAAAGACCAAAATTTGCTGGTTGAGTGTTCGAATAGGCAGTTATCAGAAATCAATTCTAGGAAGTGTGTAGTAATGCTAATAAGGGACTGTGGCAATTTATATAACCACACAATAGATAAGACGGTACCACCCGAAGCAATGGATTATAAAGTTTTAGGAGTCATCGTGACTAACTTCCTAACAATTATAGGTAACTGTATATCTGCCGCTAACAAATGCTTCAATGTCTTATAGGCTATTCATGAGTCATTAAGTCTCTTGGACGCAGTGATATTTAAGGTACCATGCTCGACGTTTGTGAGGCCGGATTCGGGACTAAGCGGAAACTCTGTTTCAATCATGAAGCGCATATGCTGAGACGAATTCGACGGCAGCGGAACAAAATGGTGGAAAACCCCGTTAACCTGTCTTTTGAAGGCAGACTGTGAGACATAAACCTGTTACCTACAGTAGGTACGAGGTGATTTAACATTTAATTGCCGTATACTGAACGATGAATTTGGTATTATTGTGTCTTGCCCTTTCCCCCCTCTAGGATTAATCGTCTGAGAAGACATTCTAACAAAATTTTGAAACCGAAAACAAATAATTTACACCTAGAGTTTCATTCCTCACATAGAATGGTGATTTATGACAGTTCTCCAACATAACACGTAATATCAACACCTGTTGATACGTTTAAAGCGAGTTCGGATCTTCACAGTAATGCGTTTTGCAGTGTTTAGTATAGGTAAATTGATCTGTCAAAACTGCTGAAGACTGAAGTATATGTACCTCCTTCTAACTAGGAACCACTTCCGAACATTAATAATTCAATATCGAAAAATACAAAGTCCACCTATGAAAACCCAAAAGGGTTTAAGCTCTAGTTACCGCTCACATTATCAAACATAGTTGAAAATCTTAGTTCGAACTTCGACCTTTTTTCTCACAAGGTCACTATACCCGTTTCACTGAATCAGCTGATATAGTCTGGTATGATTTCTCTCTCTGTTTTGTTAGCACTTTTGATTGGTGGACAAGATTATCTACTTTATTACAATGAACACTTCGAAGGCGAATTGAGCGAAGGACCTCTAGAACGCCTACTTCCTACGTTGGTGAAATTTTATAACCAATATTCAAGAGAGCCCTACAGATATGTAGCATTTGATGCTAATCAGACACTACAAACTGTATCCTTGAACTTTGATATCTAATTTTTTTCACAGAATATAAAGGGTTATAAATATTATTTCTCCATTTTGTTGGCCCCCACTATTTGCCCCAAATACCAAGTGGAATACGTATCTATTGCACACTTGGGACCTTGCTTGTTGAAAGCATATGGAGTATGTTGCACTTGAATAAGCGTTGTAATACTTCAAGTTTCAACAATGTGATTTCGTTTTAAGCTTTCGAAAGGGTCTAGTGTATGACGATAGCATGTTGTATCTTGGAGGTTGTCGATCTGCTATCCCAAGAATGCCTGTAAACCTCGAGGTAATTATTTGTTAAATTTATGTTTTCGGGTTTAGTTTTATGTCTTAGTGTTTATAGCATGTCAGAAATACATCTGAAAGTCCCCAGCAATATATTCTTTCAAGGACTGCCTTATTCACGATAAGCGAATTTATCATTAGCGTAGTAACTTGTTGTAGGTGGTACGTTTATTTTGTGACATTAACAGTTTGCCGCGAATGAACCAAACTATCTAAATTCAGTTGTATATCCCACATTTGGTTTATTTAAAAAAGCCTACAATTGAAGAACATATGGAACTCAAATAAACTTTCAACCAATATCCATGCCACAATCTTCAATACGAACGTCAAAACAGTTCGGAGCTGAAACTTCCAGAACTACCACAATCATCATCACAATAGTACAAGTATTCATAAACAGTTGTCTTCTCCAGATACTGAATGTCTGTTGACCGGATACTATCAGCAACAGTCTATTGTGAGAGAACAAACCAGCTTCCATCTAAAGAGGTAATTAGTAAAAGACGTTGGAAACGGATAGGACATACATCACAGAAATCATCAAACTGCATCATGAGGTAGGCGCTAACTTGTAGTCCTGAAGGTAAACGGAAAAGCGGAGGGCCAACGAATACATTGCATCGGGAATTGAAATCAGATATGAAAAGGATGAATAACAACTGGGAACGACTGGAAAAGATTGTCCAGGGCAGAGTTGGATGTAGAGTGCTGGTAGGTGGCCTATGCTCCACGAGGGGTAACAGGATTAGGTAAGTAACCAAGTACGTACGTTCGGCTACGTCTATTTTGTCTCGTGTTAGACAGTCTATGATTAAGGACCGATTCCAGTGACTGATCCTTATGAGTTGAATACACCGTATTTCTTGTGAGTCATGAAACTGCCTTAATTAGATTCATCCTATTTGAGTGGCATAACAAAATATCATCAATCACGTAGTCATTGGTTAGTAGTATCAGGAGTTTAACAAGAGATTAATTTTCTGTAGCTAAACTAGTAAAAGGTGGAGAAGGAATGCCGAGTGCATCACAATGTTCCTTGTTTTTCTGTTGTTTGATACCTCGACGGATAAAAAACATTATCTCTTTCTTACTTTTTTGCTTTGTTTCAGTACTTAGGCTTTAAGCTGCCTGGAAATGTTGATGAGAAATATGCACAATTTAAGCTAAAATATAGAAAACAGTATCATGAGACAGGTAGTTTCATATAATATTTGGAAATTAATACCTTTTTGCTTAGAAGATGAGATTAAGTTTAACATCTTCAAGTCGAATATCTTGAAAGCTCAATTGTATCAGGTATTTGAAAGAGGTTCAGCCATTTATGGAGTGACACCTTATTCAGATTTAACAAGTTGGTATACATATTTTTAGTAATCGTAATTATCATTAGCTGATGAATTCGCACGCACTCATCTAACTGCTTCTTGGGCAGTGCCGTCTAGTAGAAGTAATACACCAGTTTCGCTGGGAAAGGAGGTTAATAATATACCAAAAAACTTCGATTGGAGAGAAAAAGGCGCCGTAACTGAAGTAAAAAATCAAGGAATGTGTGGCTCTTGTTGGGCATTCTCAACCACTGGTAATGTTGAGAGTCAGTGGTTCCGCAAAACTGGAAAATTATTATCACTGAGTGAGCAGGTCAGTCTATTTCCTATTCATCAGTCTGTAAATTCAGGAATTTAAATTAGGTAATGTCTCATATTATATTCTAATTTCAGCCTACCTACTTTGGCTTGGACAACCGACTAGGATCACCATTCATCACGCAAACAGTATAAAACAGTCACAAACATAGAGTTGTATTCAATAGTTAAGTCGAATTTCTCGAAATAGAGAGAAATTTCATCCAGCGAAAACACTTTGTCACTATTTGCCGTATCAAATAAATGTATTTACAGGTTATACTAAAATTCTCGCCAAAGGCATAAGCAGTGGTTTTAATATTGAGTTGACAAATTAATGTAAGTGAAACCTGTACCAGTGTTTTGCATTCAGCGAAAGAAATGTAGAAATAAGAACGTTAATTAAAACCACTCTATATGGGTTATTTGGTACATAATTCTCTTCGTGTAGACTTTCTTGAAGGTGGTTTGATTTGTAGCTCAAGTAACCCCACATTGTTACAATACTGTGTACGTTTCATTAAGGTTTGACTAGTTATAAAGTGTGTTAAAAACGCATAGCAACGCTACATTCTATCCTGTATAACGTTCAATTGTTTAGATTATGAATTTTCCAACCACTGCCTCATTGAGTGAAATTGTTCGATAAACTCATCTTGTAAATTATTAACATTTCTCGTATTATTCGTGTTTAACCTTTCAAATCAACCTACAACTCGTGTCGTCCACTTAATCTTGGTATGTTTAGTTTAAGGCTATGGGAATGATAGGAACCTAAAAGTTAAATCTAGACATTTAAGTCCGAAATTCACCTCTGAATATTGTGTATATGTTTTTGGTAGTTTGACTATCATACGGCTCTGTAAGCAGTAAGTTGGAAAATAAAGTGTATACGGATAAAAATATCCTACCTACATCGTTATTTTCGGACTTTGCAGTATCACTAATACTCATATATTAATTGTAGTTGACAGCCTAGTACGCATACTGCATATGGGTAGTCAGTGACCTACGGAATCCTTGTGTTGATTGATGAATTAATAGACACTGAAGGTGTCAGTAAGAATAATGATATTGGATCAAATGCTTGTTTATGTTATTTACTTATTTAAAATCATGAACATTGTTACGAAGGGGCACCAAATAGATATGCACCATATAAGTCACTTGGTCTGTGCGTGGGTTGTGATACTGTCCGGGTACCCAGACCGAAACAGGTGGTTTTCTTAGTGGACCACAACCGAAGCCTTTGACCTAAAGGTCTAATCCCAAGACAGTGGAGCAACGTAAGGAGACGCGAACCCATGGTAGTTGGTGACCAACAGTAGGTTCATACACCATTTGTTTCCTTAAGATCCTGGAGCTCATGTGTACCATTGGTTTGGAATCAGGGTTTTCCAACTACCCTAGACAGACTCTCCGTATTTACCAACCCAGTTAAAGCGCAAGACATTAGCTTTTCGTCCTCTCGATTTCGTAAACAACAGTAATTCATCGAGATGGCAGTGAGTAGGACACGGAGGGTCCACCTAGGGGAGTTGGAAAACCCTGATTCCAAACCAATGGTGCACATGGGCTCCAGTATCCTGATGGAACGAATGGCGGAAGAACCTGTCATTGGTCAACGGCTACCATGGGACTGCATCTGCTCACGATGCTCCACTGCCTTGTGGATCAGACCTTTAGGTCAAAGGCTCGGGGTGTGGTCCCCTAAGAAAACCACTTGCTTCGGTTTGGGCACCCGGGCAGTATCACAGCCCACACACAAATGAATGAAATGATGAACTCTATTGACGATAATATCCCTGCTCATACTAAAAGCAAGACAATTTACATTATTATTACCTTTATTATTATTATTATTATTATTATTATTATTATTATTATTATTATTATTATTATTTACCATATCGCTAACTCACCCCCTTTTATCCCCAATTTGTGTAACCTTACTTTTCAACTTATTCAGCAGCTCGCCCATGGTGGAAAATCTGTCCTATCTAAACGATCTCCAGTCACTGTCTGGTTGAAAGTGAATGCTTCCACCAATTATGAATACTGAAGCAGTCTTTCTGAAACCACGTACGCCGTTCAAGCTGGCTTCCTTCAACGTTCGCACACTAATGCAGATCAGACAACAGATAGGGCTGGCTATGTCTTTGGAAGGTCTTAATGTTGATGTTTGTTGTCTATCCGAGACCCGTATTCAAGACTCTAGTGAAGTATTACAAATCCGCTCTCCATTTGTCGCCTCGAAAAGCTTGTTCCACGTGCGCTTATCCGGGGACCCTGTGGCATCTTCGTCTGGTCTTGCTGGCGTTGGTGTCGCAATTAGCGCTAGGGCTGAGGCAGCACTAATCGATTGGATCCCCATTAACAGTCGGTTATGTGCTGTTAGATTAGAAAGTTCCATCAAAGTGAGAAGAGATCGGCGTGAGAAACGGTGTCTTTTCGTCATCTCCGCCTATGCCCCGACAGATTGCAGCCCGGATGCAATCAAGGATGAGTTTTACCATCAGTTAACAGTTCTTCTCCAGAAAGCGCGTTCGACAGATATTGTAGTACTAGCCGGTGACTTGAATGCACAGGTCGGGCGTCTAGGCACAGAAGAGAGTCATCTAGGTGGCCGATGGGGACTTGTTGGTCGCAGGACAGATAACGGGGACCGTTTGCTGCAACTGTGCACAGACCACAACCTGTTTCTGGCCAGCACTAACTTCCGACACAGTCATCGGCGGTGTGCCTCCTGGCGTCCTCCCTCTGCATCCCAAGCCTGGACTCAGATTGATCACATCGCGATCAGCTACCGCTGGCGTGGTTGTGTACAAGATTGCCGCTCCTTTTGGAGTACCTATCCGGAGTCTGATCATGCCCTGGTCTGCGCCAATCTCACCTTACTTTTCAGTGTCCGAAGGATTGACCACCACCAACGGATTGATATTAGTAAACTGGCTGCAACTTCTGTTGCAAGTAAGTATCGAGTGGAGCTAGCTTCTAGGCTAGCTACCACCCCACCGAAAAGTATAGATGAGTATTGGTTGCATCTTCACGACGCCATGAAAATGGCGAGTAAAGCCGCTTGCGGCTTCGCGAAACGTCCCGCTAACAAGCACTGGGTTTCTTCTGGCTCTTTACAACTGATGGAAGCCCGTCGGTCTACTCCGGGTGACCGTGAGTTTGACCACAAACGAAGGCTGTTACGTAATGAAATCGGGCAAAGCTTGCTTAAGGACCGGGAAGCCTGGTGGTCGGAGCGTGCTAATGAGATAGAAGAAGCAGCTGCATCTGGTAACTGCCGGAAGCTCTTCCAACTCATCCGAGCCACTGGCAGCAAGAATTCTGGTGTGAGTGAAACAATCTACGAGGATGACGGGACGCCAATCACTAACATCTGTCGACGTCTTGGACGATGGGCTGAATTTTTCGAAGGGCAGTTCAACTGGCCTGCTGCTCCGGCAACATCAACCAGCTTGTCCTGCCCCCCATAGCCGGTGACGACTGATCCACCAAACGAGGTGGAAGTCCGCAAGGAACTCCAACTCTTGAAACGTTACAAATCACCGGGCGCAGATGACTTACCTCCGGCTCTTTTTAAAGATGGTGGTGACTTTCTGACTAAGGAATTGACTGTGTTGTTTGGAAAGGTTTGGGAGCAAGAAAGTGTTCCAACATCTTGGAATGAGTCAATAGTCGTCCCTATCTTTAAAAAGGGTTCGCGTTGTTCCTGCAATAACTATCGGGGGATAAGTCTACTTTCGATCGCGTCCAAACTATTGGCTTCTATCATTCTTCGTAGGTTGTTTAAAACCCGAGAACGATTGACTCGCGAGGAGCAGGCTGGTTTTCGTTCTGGTCGAGGATGCATTGATCACATCTTCACCCTCCGCCAAATGTTAGAACACCGTCATACTTATCGCAGGCCAACAATCGTAGTGTTTCTTGATATCAGGGCGGCCTTCGATTCGTTGGACAGGACTGTTCTCTGGGATTGTCTATTGAAGAAGGGTGTGCCTGAGAAGTTCATTAACATCTTAAAGGCCCTGTATACGAACACCTCAGGCAGAGTGAGGGCATACAACCACCTTTCTCCCTTGTTCCATTCGAGCAGTGGGGTTAGGCAGGGTTGCCCGATCTCACCATTCCTCTTCAACTTTGCCATCGACGACAACCTGGAAACAGCTCTGGTGGATGTAAGTAATGGCGGTGTGGATATGTTGCCCGGAGAACGACTTCTCGACCTTGAGTATGCGGATGATATTGTCTTACTGTGCGATAATGCCCAAGGCATGCAATCCGCACTTAATCAGTTGGCAATCAGTGTCCGCAGGTACGGCATGTGCTTTGCACCCTCCAAGAGCAAAGTACTCCTACAAGACTGGCAGGATTCTCATCCTGTACTCACCCTGGATGGTGAGGAGATCGAAGTAGTTGAGAAGTTCGTGTATCTAGGTAGCTATATAAGTGCTGGTGGTGGCGTGAGTGATGAGATTGATGCACGTATAATGAAAGCCAGAGCGGCTTATGACAATCTGGGCCATCTTTGGCGCCTTCGTGATGTTAGTCTGGCTGTAAAAGGTCGGATCTACAACGCGTCGGTGAGAGCAGTTTTGCTCTATGCTTGTGAAACCTGGCCTCTCCGAGTTGAGGATGTTAGACGTCTCTCTGTGTTCGATCATCGTTGTCTCCGAAGGATTGCTGACATACAGTGGCAACACCATGTTAGTAATGCAGAGGTTCGGCATCGTGTGTTGGGGCGCAGAGACGATAATTCAATTGGTGTCACCATCTTGAAACACCGACTTCGGTGGCTTGGACATGTTTTACGAATGTCGTTCCAGAGACTTCCACGTCGTGCATTATTTGCCGACCCTGGGACTGGTTGGAAAAAGCGGAGAGGAGGTCAGTGTATGACATGGTGTCGTGGCATGAAAGAGAGCTGCAAAGGGCTAGCTTCTGTTGGTCCTTCACGACTCCCTGGTTGGGGTCCGAGAGATGGTGCAACACAGTGGCTAGAGACGTTATCAGATATGGCTCAGAATAGAAGCCAGTGGCGATCCTGCTGCAACCTTCTTTTACTTTCTAAATAAAGAATGGTTCTAACTTTCCTAACTGAAAGAGTCTTCTGGTTGTACATTTCAGTCCGCCTTATCTTTTCATCCCTTCTCTTCCTACTTTCATTATTTTGTGTGGCGCATATGTACCTGGTGCCCTTTTGTACCAATATATATGTGTTTAAATAAAAAAATAAAAAAAATCCTCGGCAGTGGTTGTATGCACGTGGCCATGTGAGAGCATTTCGAGAGGGAGAGCTAACTCTCCCCTCTCTCGGCCGTACCAGGGCATTTATGTGTATTCATATTTTCTGACTGTAATTTTACTTGTTACAACTAACTTTTAGTTAATTGTAATATTTTATTCTCAATAATTCATGCTAATTACAGCAACTTGTTGACTGTGACGGTTTAGATGATGGTTGTAATGGTGGTCTTCCATCGAATGCCTATGAATCAATCATAAAAATGGGTGGTTTAATGCTTGAAGATAATTATCCTTATGATGCTAAAAATGAGAAATGTCATTTGAAAACTGACGGTGTTGCAGTTTACATTAATAGTTCAGTAAATTTAACTCAAGATGAAACAGAACTTGCTGCATGGCTCTATCATAATTCAGCAATTAGTGTTGGTATGAATGCGTTGCTTTTACAGGTACAGTCCCTAAATTATATTTTGGTTTTCTTTTTGTATACACCATATTTTCTACTATATTATTCTTTCAAACATATGATTCATCAATACATTTGGGAATAGGATTTATTAGTGTAAAAAAATGTTGAATTTTTTAGTCGTTAATTGTACTTAGTTAAGTAATGAAGTTGTTATGAGTTGTTCATCATAATTTTGTGAGTTATTACGTACAACTCATTGAGCTATGCTAGTAATTTTGAATAACAATAATTCAATCCCTTGTAAGTAAACTTGGACGCTGGTTTTATTAATACACGCAACCCTACTTTACAGCTTTATGAAATATATATATATATATATATATATATATATATATATATATCGTCAATATTTTCAGGAATTGAGACGTTTTTACTTGAATAAGGGTTCCAAAAGTGCTGTAAGAATAAATTGTCAGTACGAAATCACGGTGTTATGAAATACCGGGTTTTACCAAACCCTCAGTCAGTCAGCTGCAACGTAGGACCAGGCACATATATACATCGGTCTAAGTTGCCATACCTCGTTAGCACAACAAGCTGAACACCGAATTCATAAAAGTAGTTAGTTTAGTGGATGTAATATATAAAAAAATGTTGTATATAAGAATATGGTACAGGAAGAAAGACATATGAATCAATTTTAATCTCAATGTTCAAGGGAAGATAAAGAGTATATACACCTGCGCCATAGTGATCGATTCTGAGCCATGCCACCTAGAGTCTCCAACCATTGGTTACGATAGTCATGCAGGCACCAACCAAGTAGTCTGCATCTACCAACATGGCTAAGACTAGAAGTTAGTGACTTCAAGCTCTGATGCCACGTTTTGGTTTGGCCGCCCCTAACTTTCTTCCAATCATCGCCAATACTAGTCAGCATAGCGCGTCGTGGTAATCGGTGTTTAGGCATACGTAACACGTGGCTTGACCATCTCAGTCGATGCAGATTCACAACCTCATCAACTGACTTACCATCATTCCCTACTACTCTGCGTCTAATCTCATTATTACTTACCCAGTGATCCCACAAGACGGAACAATATTTCTTAAGCATGTGTGATCAAATACTAGTAACTTATGAGTATCTTCTACTCTTAATGGTCACGTTTCGCAGCCGTAAAGTAGGACAGAACGAACTGTTGCGCAGTATACTCATCCCTTAATTTATAGACAGATATCTTGCCTTTGCCATAGGTGACGTTGTTATGTCTTTATAAAAAAAACAGGACGTATGCTAATTCGTTATGAATTTTATGTCCGACTTTTTATCAGGTGAATTATCCATCAATCGAAATACGACTTTTCTAATATTAACACTGAAAAATCAATGACGTTCGACCAGTATGAGTAGTCTAGCGTCCTTATTGGTCCCTTGTCCGCCTAGCCCTTACAATTGAGTCCAGAACACCAATTCCAGCTTCTGCTATGTGAATCATTTATTTCAAGCATACTCGGTTTAGATACGGTTCATATAGCGGAGGCTGATATTTGCGTTCTGGACTGAACGGGGTGGGATAGGCGAGAAGCTACTATACGGAGGACCGATAAGGACTCAGGGTTCACTCAAGGCTGCTAGTGCTGGTTGAAGTGTCTTCGATTTAGCACAGGGACAAGGTCAGTATTGTGATTAGCGATTTTTCCACGTGATATTTGACAGACAGACATTTTTCCAATACATATTTTAATTTACACTGCTAAATGGTTTGTATAATTTGTATTATTTAACTATTCACCTTATCGCTAAACCAGTCAACATAAGTACGTTTTCTATTGTATTTCACTTTGGTTAAAAATGTCCATGAAGAGTTGTGTTCTTTGCTCATTGTTAATTATCTTCAGTTGCAAGCCAAATGTTTTCTTATATTCCTGAAGTTTACTGGTATATAAAATATTGGGGGTTATGATTGTATTTGATGTCGATTCATCTGTTATGAGTACAAATTTGTTCTGATTGTCGAGCTAACCTAACACGTGGAATCAGCAGTTAGAGAACAGCAGGACAGATCTGAAAAACGGCACAGCACACAATGTTAAACGAGGACTTCACACCAAGAGAGAACACAGTGGGAATCACGAGCCTCTTTATTTCAAAATCAAAAAACGCGGTAGGTGAGTTAGTTTCTGAATCTGCAACAACTTGTGTTGGTTCTGGTACAACCGTTGTGCTGCTATCACTAATAAAATCCATCGATTGCTGGACGAGTTCGTTAGACAGTAGTCGGAAGCACAAATTGCGAATGTCCTTGTAAGTTGTGTGCTTCTTTCAAAAGTCCTCTAAATCATTTGACAGTGGGACAGGTACTGAATTCACACTCACCAAATTGAAGGTGCTTGTAGCAACAGTCTTAAGATCTTCTCGTGCACGTAAGAAATTGAGAACAGAAGACAGAGCTGAAGAACTAACTCCAGGCCAATTATTCACTACGGGCGGTGTTAATATATCTCATACAGCGTCTAACAACTTAAGGCTATTTTCTGATGAAGATTTTGTGACGGCTGAACGGACTGTCGGAATGTCCAAAGAAGCAAAAAAACGTTCCAAACACATGTGGACACTTAAATGCGAAAGAGTATATTTCTCATGTTCAGCTTCCAGTTGGGACATTTGCTTACCAACGACTGACTACATATTCGACAAAAGATCCTTCGTCTGTGCCACAATCTCTTGTACAAACGAGATGTTCTGAACCACACCATCATAGCTTTTGACGGCTTTCTTTTGTTCATCTTTCAGGACTTCACCTTTCTGCAGTTTTTCGCGATAACCATCTAGCTTACTCTTTCTTTTTCCAAGATTCCTTTCTCTACGCTCAAGATTTGACAAGAACTGTCTAACCAACTGACATGGAGAATCACACTCAAGAATGCCTTTAACGCCGGTCACAATCATCGAGTGAATTTAACTAGTTTCAATGTTCACTGAAGGCAACTGTATTTCCCATAGGATCTTTTTATAATGACAAACATTCGTTTTAAACTGTCGTGTAATATATGTATAAATGTCGTCGCATTGGTATTCTAGTATACACGTTGGTAGATGCTTATACAATGACTGTAACTTTTTGTTGAAACTTTACTTAACTGTATTAAAAATGTCATTTGATCAGCATCTCCGTAATTTCCTAACTGTTCATTACACTTCACAATGAATTTAAGTCAACTCAATCAACAGGTATCTGGGCTTACTCATACTTATAGGAAGTAGAATCTACAAAATAACTAATGCATTATGGTTTTAAACTTTTAGTAAGTTTCAGCAACTATACACCACAATTATTATAAATGAACTTTAGAATTTTTATTTCTATGACGTTTCAATTTATCTATCACATCCCAATTTAGTTTTATCAACATGGAATTAGTCATCCATGGTGGATCTTCTGTTCAAAGTATCTGCTTGATCATGCTGTTTTACTTGTTGGTTATGGAGTTTCCGAGAAAAATGAGCCCTTCTGGATTGTAAAAAATAGTTGGGGTGTTGAATGGGGTGAAAACGTAAGTTTTTTTTCACTCGCATAACTGATAAAAAGCATCTTATTGTAATCATTCATTACGTAAATTACATTAAATCAACTAGTCTTTATTTTTCGGTGGAATTTCTCACCTAAATGGGTTCATTACTTCAGATAAATAATAACTGCCTTTGCTGTTTGTCGAGCCATTCTATCGTCCTATTAACAGATAAGATTGTGTAGTACAACTTACCATAATATCAGTTATCGCGCTGGGGAAGCTACCATATTGTCTATTAAAAATGGAAAATAAAGTGGACTTAGTATATCGAGTATTTGAAAAGAAGTCTCCCTCTCATCTGTTTCTTTCAAGATAAATTTATACTGATTCATTAAACATCAGTGTGTACTGATGATCTTATCGTAATTCGGTAGTTATTACATCCGGTTTTACTTAGTTGTGTATAAAATAATACAAATCAGCACATAAAATAAAGATGTTTGATATTTCTTAAGTTATGTTAATTGGTTGATACGATTAAAGTTGTAATATAAACCGTCATTTTGAATTTTTGAATCACTCATTACAGTTTTATACTTGGACTTGACATGGAATTCTATCGAAGTACGTATATCAAATTCATACAAAAGCATATTTTGCCAATGAATAGCAATGAAGAGAGTTATTTGCATCCTGTTACTAAAGAATAGTCTCACTACAATACTTAATGAGTGATTATTGTTTATCAATATTTGTTTGAATTACCAAATGCCCTGGTACGGCCGAGAGTGGGGAGAGTCCACTTTCCTTCTTGAAATGCTCTCATATGGCGACGTGTATATAGCCTCTGCCAGAGAATTCCTACTCACTGCTTTCTCGTGACGGCGGTGTTGTTTACAAAATTGAGAGGACGAAAAGCGAATGCCCGGCGCTTTAACCGGGTTGGTGGACACGGAAAGTCCACCTAGGGGAGTTGGAAAACCCTGATTCCAAACCAATGGTGCACATGGGCTCCAGTATCCTGAGGGAACAAATGGCGTATGAATCAATCGTTGGTCACCAACTACCATGGGACTACATCTCCTCACGATGCTCCACTTCCTTGTGGATCAGACCTTTAGGTCAAAGGCTCCGGGTGTGGTCCCACTAAGAAAACCACTTGCTTCGATTTGGGCACTCGGGCAGTATCACAGCTCTCACATAAATCAAATGAGGTTTGTGTGGCGTATATATATTTGGTCCCCTCTTGTACCAATATTTATGTGTTCAAATAAATAATAAATATATCTTATATACACTATTTTATCTGTGTATATTTTATTTTATTTTAACTTTCAGGGTTATTTCCGTATGTACCGAGGTGATGGTACTTGTGGTATCAATACTGTTGCTACGTCAGCGTTGGTCTACTAGGGGGAGTGTGCGTATATGTTCTTTTTTCCATCCCAAAACAATTTATCTTATTCCTAACAGAATCTTAATTTAATTCCGTATTATTTTGTCGAAAATACTTTTTTCCAGATTCTAATTTTTATACACCTCCACTTCTCTGATCATCCTCCTACATTTTTTTTAAATTAATGAATAAACTCCACTGCGAATCTCTGTAAAACGCTCACTATTAGTTTTTTATTTATTTTGATGGTGGATGGGAAGGGGGTGAATAATCTCTTTGGATAACTGCCTTTCTAATTTCATTAATCTCATAAACATTTTGTATTGATTATTTTTAAAGACATTATGCTCAATGCTTTAGGTCACCATTTTCTTAAATATAACATTCAAACAAACGTATTAACGGTGTTTTCTTTATACAGAGATGAGATTAAATGCATACCAAATATTATCTGTTGTACAATGATGATATCTAAGTAGGAACAGGTTTTTTATTTTATAGAGTTGAGATCATGAGTCAATTGAAGCTAGATCACCATCGAGCACTGGACGGCCGTTTCGTCCTATCATGGGACTTCTCAGCAGTGCGCATCCACGATCCCACACTCGCGGGATTCGAACCCAGGACCTATCAGTCTCGCGCCAGAGCACTGAGCCGGTATCCAACGGTGTTAATGTCGAACTTCAACCGATCCACAAAATTGTTTATTTTTATTTCGTTTTAAAAAGCGATTGTTTGTGATTCTTTTGGTTGTTTATTTTATGAAATTCTGACGAGTAATCCATATATAGGGAGCAGTTTTCTAAAGTTGACTGTTTCAATGTACAGACTGAATTGTAATCTAAGCTCCGTTGATAATTCGTAGCTAATAATGTCCAAATTTCCAGACTGAATTTCAAGTGATGTAATTTGCTGTCTTTCATACCTGGAAAGCTTTTAACGTACATAGTCTAGATTGTTCTGTTACTGTTCAGCAAAGTGACATTTTAATAGGTCAGGTTTTACCCTTATGGAAATTGGATTGTGATTAGTTTAAATTAAATTATGTTTATCATCCCCTAATTTTTCTTATCTGTGACAAAATGTTTATGATAATAATGTATAAGGAAGCTGGGTCAGACATTAGTCAGTAGTATATACAGTCTCTCCAGCAAGTGCGCAAAGGGATGCCATAAAAGTTTAATTTTACGTAACTTTGGGTATGTTGATCCTATCTGTTTCTAAGTAATTCCAATTTGTGGATATTTACTTGTCTCATCTTCGCTTCCGTCGTTCATAGTATATTCCAATATTTCCAGAAATTAGGCTCCTCAACATTAACTGTCTAAACCGATGTATTTTACTGTAGTAGTTTTCATAGACGATGTTGTGTTCATTTAATCTACAATCATCTAGACGGTGAATCAGTGACCAAAACGCGTTCAATGTTTACATCAATAGAAATCATTGGTATTACTGGCCTTGCATAATTTATTCGAGTCATCATGGCTCTCGCTGGAATAATAATTTGTTTAGAAAGAGCCGTTTACCTCGATATTTTATTTTCATAAAAAGTGCTGAACATAAAAATATAATATAAAAACATTTTTACAAAATGGACAGAAGCCGGTATCCTCACTCATTCATGGTGATGAACCTCTAAAAGTAGTCAAAAGTTCATGTGTTTAGGTAGTTGTATAAATTCCGGTGATTACTGGACTGATGAGATCAATGTACGTATTCACCAGTTCACACTTTTTTTATACTGCGTAGGTATATAACGCGACAATATCTTTCTATGGTCGCAAGAAATATTTGATAGAATTAAACATCAGTTAATCAGAAGAACTTATTCTTGCTAGAATAATTCCTTCGGACAACAGAAATCAATGGTCGCAGTTTTCAGCTAATAGTTTTGACCTGATATACTTAACGTGGTCGAGTTTATTTTTACTACGAATTCCATCTTGCTTTATTGACTACCGATCCATATTTCCTAATTATTATTCATCCTACTGATGAATTATGAAATAAATCTGTTTTTCTAATTGATCTCTTATTAATACTTTAGTAAATTAGCATTACTTTATATAAACGAATTAATGATACTTTATGGAATATTAAGTAGTATTAAATGGGATTTCGGAAGTTAGAATCTAAGAGAAGATAATGAGTGAATACATCTTCGTCATTGAGAACAATTCTGAGTGACGTTATCTAACATCTTCAGCCACTGGTTATGATAACTGCACGGATCCCAATAAGATAACCAGAGGTTGTACTCAGCTTTCATGTGAGTAATTAATCGGTTTTTCTCATTCTTGTTGCCAAACCAGGTCTATTTAAAATCCAGATCGAGGAAGTTGACTAAAGTGAGTGGTGAATCTCATTGTCTGAATTAGATAAAGTAGACACACGTGGTTAAACTTCTGATTTAGCGAAGTGTACTTTGTTGCTAATCTCTCATTCAAATGACAATCTACCAAATCATTCGATGACTGTGATCAGTGGATCATCTGGCTGAATAACAAAATACTCTGGGTTACCAATTTTAAGTTACTCATGTCTGGTAATGACTTGAGTTATCATCACACCTCACAAATTGCTTTGGGGGGTTCTAGACTAGAGCAAAATACTTGTACAGTGCCCTCTATTTGTCAATGGCTCTATAAGTATGGTTAATTCATAATAATAGTCATCTTCAGCCACTCAATCTAAAAACCAAAAGATATCTGGAACGTTAATTATCAGTTACATGATTATTTCAACGGCAAGGGTTGTGTTGAATTTTCATGTTGTTGATGTAAAAAATGCATTTGATCAAACTTTTGGGAAACATACGTTCTATTCGGATTACCTCGATGTTGCCATTAAGTCACACACATTTGTAAGTGTACTTGGATAGTAGCTATCAGTGAAATACAAAATGGTTAAAAAAATCCTTGTGACTTGGTGACAATATAGAGGAAGTTTGCACATATATCAACAGAGTGTCATCAATTACAATCCTTAACATCAGTAACGGAAAGATTCAAATAACCTTTCCAAGTACATTAAAATTCATCTTTCTCGTAATCAACTATATGAACTCTATAGTTGATTGGACACTACGTTGTGTGTTTGGAGTGGAAAGTACACGAACACTGAGACAAAGAGACATCCAGATAACAAGTTTTAAATTGAACGGGACACGCATTCTGTATTCCACTGCTAGTCACTATTAGAATCCCTAAATATTCCAATTACACATTTATTTGTTTCAAATATGAAAATAACTGATTACTCATGGTAATACTAAATCTCCTTATCAATTTATTTCACATCTAATTCTTCATTATAGTTTTTTTTTTCCTGAATATAACAATCATTCTAATGCACCAACTATTCATGTGATCCACTGAAATGATACACTATAGTATATGTTTACATGTTTTTTTGTAAATACCTAGTAAATGTAGTGCATAGTTTCATGTGATATTTTAATATGTTAATTATAATGACTATTATTAAAGTATATACAATCACTAAATTAAAAAAAGGAATGTACAGTTCGATCATTCCAACTCTATTGTGGCAATCTGAATATTTTCGGGTAATCAATAAATTTCTCCTTTTTTAGAAACAAAAATAATGGGTGAGTTTGAAAAGATAGTTATAGTTAGTTATATAAGATACCCTTGTGAACCAGGGTAATTTTGTATTGATTTTTCAGGAGAACCAGATACCATTCAGACTTTCAAGTGACAACGCGAATAGTATAGCTTAACCTTGTTTAACAGGAGAGCCAGATACCTCAGTTAGAAAACATAGTATTACGAATAACCAGATTAGATAATTTTTACTGAAAATACGTTTAATTGTGAAGATTTCATATTGTCTTTTTAGACAAAAAATCATTCATACATGCTTCAAATAAAAGTGAACTATAATAATTTTCCAGTTTTGATAATGAAATTACCCTCTTCAACTACAAATTTTCTGAAAGAGGTTTTGTGGAGATTTTTAGTAATTTTATATAGTTGAGATCATGAGTCAACTGAAGCTAGACCACCTTGGAAAATCTGGAAGCACTGGACGGCCGTTTCGTCTTAGTTTCAGACTTCTCAGCAGTGCGCATTCACGATCTCATCTCGCGAGATTCAAACCCAGGACCTATCAGTCTCGCGCGCGAGCGCTTAACCTCTAGACCACTGAGACGGTATCCACCGGTGTTAATGTCTAACTTCAACTGATCCACGAAATTAAGCGACACATTCACCATTGTCTTCAGTGAGTTCATATTGTCCTAACTGTAGGCTCACATTTGATTTCTTAACTGTTGCAATATCTTTTGCCGTTGATGAATCACGGTGTATCAAATATCAGTTTTTTACTCTATACAGTACCGTAGATGTCTTAGATGTGTACTTCGCAAGAGTTATTGTTTATAGCTTATTGCATTACTGGATTTTTGAGCTTAGACAATACAAAATATTTATTTACATTCTCTCGTTTTTGGGTTGGTGAATGGGTATTCGGTTGTTAGTTTGTTAGGCTGAAACACATGTTGCTAAGCTACTCAAATGCATTTAAATGAAAAAGACTGGATTTATGTTCAAGTCAATTCTAATTGTATTTCAATGACTCAATAGCATGCAGGATATTCGAAGCCAATATATGCAGTAGCTGCGTCAGTGGGAGGAGGACAAATTCAGAGAATTTTCATTCACTGGTTGTTCTGAATAATGATAGTGGAATCAAATGTTTTCTAAGGTCTTTAGATCTCTAATCTATCAATTTTGAAATGAAATTCGAAAAGACCAGAATTACAAGAAAGAAAGGTTAAGGATAGTCATACACTTATCGACGAAATTTTCAAGATCTATGATCTATTAAAACATATGCATTTCTACCGAATAGGAATCTAGGTGTAACTTATTACCTGATTTCCGCAATACACTTTCGGATGTCATTGAAATCAGTTACTTGTGATCATCGAACTACTCAACACCTTTCTCTGAGATGTTCATGTGATATACTGAAAAGTTGATACGTGAGGTGGCTGTGCGAACTTCCGTTAAGCAATGATGTCTGATAACAGTATTTATGCCGAAAACTATTACGTATACAATTGGTTTTACCTTGTTGTGTGTTCTCAGGTAGGGATTACCAATTATGTTCGTACGTCGAGGTTACCAATTTTGGTCCATGTTCGTTCAGCGAGGCATCCAATTATGTAGTGCCGTACTTCGTTCATAGTTTACCTCCATAACCGTTATAATACTAATCTTAACGGTGCATAATATCAGAAGGCAAAGTGTTATAACGTGTGGATACGTAATATATATATGAACGTGGAATTAGTGAGGAGTGGATTTATTGATCGGAAGCAAATGATACTTGAAATCGTACGAGCAGTCTTGGGTGCTATTCGGTCCTT